ATATATATATATATATATACTGGTATACAATCTTAGGGTATATAGGTATATTTTGAAGAGATCCTTGGGAATGAAGAAATAACACAGAGGGTTAAATGTATGACCATTGGGTTTCTGGTAGTTACAGGGATAAATGATAGTTACTGTGCCCTCTGGTGAATGTTCTCTCCAAGATTTGTTGCATGATACTTTTGTTGGGAGAAATTTTGGACCTATCTATTGCATATATACGAAGGTGAGTCAATAAAGAATGCTACTACTGATTCTAGTGCCGTATATTCAATGGTATGGATTGATGTCTCCATACAGCAATGTATGTTGGCACTCCTGCATTGTATACTTGTTGGGCAATAATCTGTGGCTGCAGCTTAGCAATAGTGAATCCTATGACAAAGATAGCAACATGACTGGAAAGTTGTACACTTGAGGAACCGTGGGCAGGTATCCAATTTCTGTGGGTGGAAGGGGTAAGTGGAAGTGAAATTTACAGATGAATGAGTGTGCAATATGCCTGGACCTAAGGAATATGTACAGGTGGATAGAAAAGCTTGAAGAAGGCAGATAGTGTCCATGATGAACACTGCTCTGGGAGACCATGAAAGGCCACATCCCCACAGAACTTGGCCCTTGTGGAACAACCTATTTATAGTGATAAATGCATCACATTAGATGACATTGCCAATGAAATTGGCATTAGCCACAATACAGTGCTCATAATTGTCCATGACCAACTGAACTTATGGAGGTGTCTTGCAGGTGGGTGCCCTAATTTACCACATATGCTCATAAGGCCCAGCATTTGGAAACCAGTGCAACCTTAATTCAACTCCACTTGACACCACCACCAAACCCAAGTGGGAGGTTCTACCACACCCACCATACAGCCCAGACCTTGCCCACTTGAACTACCACCTGTTTGGGTCCCTGAAGGAGGCCCAATGTGGTGAGCACTTTGTGTGACTCAAGGATGTCTAGGAGGCTGTCCGAGCACTGCAATGCACCAACCTGTGCTATGCATGGAACCCAAAAAGGTTCCATGTTACAGGCATAAGGAAGCTGGTACCAAGATGGGACAAATGCATCTCAGTCCTCAGGGACTATGTTGAAAAATGACTAGCAGTATGTATACCTGTGTGCTTATTAACCCTTTCCCTGGCATTGCATTAGTTTTACACCAACATCCCTGAAGTGTTTGGATATCTCTGCCATGGAAAGGGTTACAGGGCTGTGGAGAGCTAATTGCTAGGGCAATAAAGTGGCATTATTCATTGACTCACCCTTGCACTATTCAAAACTTGCCAATTAATCTGTAATAATTTGAAATGACAAGCCAAAAATAATATAAAATGGGGTTTGAATAAAGTGTTCTCAGGAAGAAAAATTAATAACTTTGGAATCCATTGTGTTAATGTTCTGTGGTTTTTAGCAATATATCCCTTTCATGTATGAATTTTTCAAGGAAAAGAAAAATTGCCTTTTCTAGTTTAACACTTAAGGTGGTACTCTGCCATAGTAGTTGCCTATTTCACCACTAGAAAGCATTACTGAAGAGATTATGTGCCCTTGAGTTGCATGCACCAAAACTTTTCAGGTATGTGTACCATGGCTAAAAAACCATCATCAGCAAAAATTTTGCCATCCACTACAGTGGACACCATGTGTGAAAGGGATATTGAGCAACTCACCAAGATTGTTACCTGTGAACACAATGGCCATGTGCATTGTGCATGTGTTTATATGTGGAGTGCTGTGGATCCCCAGCTCAGTAGTGATGGCATCAATATAGAAGTTTCAATATATCCTGTGGCTGGCAGAGTTAAGAGTTGACAGTTCCTGACTTGCCCTGCGCATTGACTTCCATGGACTGCATGTGAATGCCTGCTGTGTGTGATCAACTGTTGCCTGGGACATGCTTGCTTTGCTGGGCAGTTTACTTGGCACCAGACTGCTGGTTTCCTTCAGTTGTCTGTCCTATTTCATGAAGGTTGTGTGGGATGGAGCTTGATGACTGTACACCTTCCTAAACTCACACTGCACCCTTATCACCAATTTTACCTATGCCAGCCACAGGATGCATTGAACCAGTCTGTACTAACAGTCTCTATTGAGCTGGGTATCCACAGCGTAGTGTTGATAAACACGTGCACAATGCACGTGGTGGATGGCCGTTGAGTTCACAGGTAATAAACTTGGTGAGTTGCTCTGCATATTACAAAATACAGCAGGTTGCTATCGACTATGGATTCCATAGTTATTACTGTTTATTTTTGGAAACACTTTATTCAGACACCCTGTACTTTCAGACAGCATTCTGCCATTCTTCAATTCAGTGAGTAATTAATTATGAGCCAATTGGGAGTATTGAGATCCAGCCGATGGCTATTCTGCTGTAATGTTGCTAATAAGAGACATTGCTTAGAAATGTGGATTCTCATCTTTCACTTTTATGTGGTACAGGAGGACAAGGCTTTCCAGGCAAAACAGAGAGAGGAGCAAAAGAAGCTGGAAGAAATGAAGAAGCAGGCTGCTGGCAAGGGACCCTTGGGTACGTTTAGCTGGAAGAAATTACTTTGGTCTTGTGCTGATGCAGCCTCAGAGCAGCTTAGGTATTTTTGTTGTGTATTGTCTTCAAAATTACAGTTGGTGGTGGAATCAAGAAGTCTGGCAAGAAGTGACAATGCCCTCATCAGTTTTCATTTGTGCTGTCATCTTATCAGACTCCCTCAAGTACCTTCCACATCTTTCCATGTGGCCTCATCTGGATGGCTTTCTATAACCTACTGTCCTCAAAGTTGCTGCATGCGTTGACATTTCTCCCGTCCAAACTTGTGGAAGTATGTCATGATTGCAAGGATATTTGGTTCTATTTCAGAGGATATTTAGTTTTACTTTTTGACCATGGGTGTGTTTCAGAAGAGTTCCATCTTCACACCCTTAGGAGTAAAAGTGATGCCAAATTTCTTCTATTCAAAAACCTGGGCTCTCCTATTGGAGAATCAGCCTGCATTTGTGCACACAAGGATGTCAATAGTCTTCCCTGTGCATTATTTTGAAAACACCATATTTTAGAAAGTCTCAAGTTGTCAGGTCCCTAATCAGTTATAATAAACCTACTTTTATGAGTGTCTTTATGATGTTCTGCTTTCAATGTGACCTTTGAATATGCAACTGTATTCTTAATTTGGGCTTATGTTCTTGGGATTTTCTGGATCGAAGATTACTGAATGGGCACAGGACTTTGTGAGTATGTCTTCTATGACATTTGGCCAGAAGACCTTCACCCCAACTCCCCCTGATAAGGGAAGCTTTCCTCTAGATCACGAAGGTGTTTGCAAGAGAGAAATGATACACTACATGCTGTGCTTGCGACAGAATGATGGCCTGAATTCCTTGTGCCAGGAAACTGCCAGGGCTTACTTCCAGTGCAGAATGGACAATGACTTGATGGCCAAAGAAGACTGGACAAAGCTTGGTTACCAAGACAGCAAAGACTAAACAATGACTGAGAAAAAGAGGCCACAGATTTTGATCATGAGCACTGGCAGTGTGGCTTGCATCAAGCTCCCAGAGCTAGTTTCCAAGTTGCACTCAGCAGAGGCAATGGATATCAAATTAGCTGTCACTGAGCATGCTTTGCATTTCTTTAGTCCTCCTGATCTTCCACCAGATGTGATGGTCTTCAGAGATTTAGATGAATGGACCACTTGGAAAGGTAGAGGTGATCCTGTATTACATGTAGAGTTGAGGAAATGGGCAACAATTGGCCTAATAGCTCCATTAGATGCCAACACTCTCGCAAAAGTTGCCAATGTTAGTTCCACCAGTTTATTATTCGTCTTGTGTGTTACAGATACCTGTGTTTCCTCATGTGAAATTTACATTTCATTGTAGGGGATAAGTGATAATCTGGTGACTAGTGTCCTGAGAGCTTGGGATATGCAGCGGCCATTGATCTTCTGTCCAGCCATGAATACATGCATGTGGAATCATCCATTGACTCAGAAGCATCTGAAGGTATTGGAGGATGAGCTGCACTTCCAGCAGGTACCCCCAGTTGAAAAGGAACTGATGTGTGGAGACAAAGGTATTGGTGCTATGGCTAATGTTGAGGACATTGTCAAAGCAGTTCTATGTATTTGGGATGCATCCAGTCTCAACAGTAAAAACTAGGTTTCTCCTCTTTTTATGAAATTCTTATTGACAAAAATCCATATCACCCAAAATAAAATGTTTTCTGAATGAATAAATTATATAAATTCCATATCAATATGATAATCCACTCACTATTACATGTATATATATATATCATCTTCACATGCAACCAGAAAGACCAGGTTCTGCAAGTTGGAAGAATAAGGGTAGACCGACCAGTATGAAAGAGAAATTATGTGATGTATATGATCTTCATGAGCCACCTATAATTGCTGCTCATCTTGAGAATATGTGACACCTCAGCCAATGAGGTTATGTGAACTATCAAAGATTTAGGTTGATGAATTCCATCCTCCAGCTAGAAGATGAGGCATCAATCCTATACCCTTGCTCTCATGGGAATGACACTGTCGAGCATGTCTCTGCAGGTGGTGCCTCCTCTTGAAGTTCTTGTGGCACTGATCACAGGCGAAGGGTTTCTCTTGACTGTGGACAACCATATGACGTACTGCAGCTGAGCGACGTTCTGTCTGATAGCTGCAATGCATGCAGCAGAAGATTTTGTAGCCATGTTCTTCGTAGGTCCATATTCCCCTCTTGTCTGGTGCCGTCTTTGCATTGGGCCTCGGCTGAAGTTAAGACAAATAGAAAATCTTTGTTAGATGCTTCATACAGACTTCAGGAATATTTACAGAAACTGTAAATATTCTGATACCAAGCAGTGGCCCTCTTCTATAGAAGCCTGAGAAATTTTCAGTTCACTTGTTTCATGGTACTGTTAAAAGTTTACAAACGATCACAAAACATGTCACTGTGACTTAGTTGGAAATTTGAGATATTTTCAAGGATTTAAAGTCTGGGTATATGGTATCTAGTATTTTACAGGGTCTAGCAAAAAAAAAAAAGACCAACGACTTTCAACCCAAATACCTCTGCTCACATTAGAGCTATTTTCACGAAACTTACACTTTGCATGTATGAGTATGTTTCCAACTGAAACTGATACCTGATGCACTTAAAAAATTAACACATGTGAAACTTGACCATTTCGATCCAATTTCATCACAGGGAATGTACCCATCACCTCCAATTTATTTTCAGTCCAAATAAGGAAAATGGGAGGAATTTGTTTTCTACTTTTGCTATATTACTATTTCTATAATTGCATTCTAGTGCCATCTGTTGGCAACCTCTTTGAACTACTTCAAGAAATACTAGCTCTGACATCAGGGTGGAACTGGGAAAATTATATGTAGAAATAGGTCTGACAGGATCACAAAGGGTTAATCTTACTTGGCTGGGGGGGGGGGGGTCCATTCTGACCCATAACAAAAACAACATATCGTTTCCAAATATCCTTTCAGTATGTGCTCAATTAGGTTCCGAGTAACAGTCAGAATTATTGCCTATCATTTAGCACATATAAACAAAATAAGTATGAATTGTGGATCAAAACAACCAGACCCCCCTGCTCCTTGGTCAAGTAAGCATGGTTCATAAGTAGTCTCCATTTCCCCATAACTTTGTTAGTACACTCTGTCCTCTAAGACATTAAATTGCTCAAATACTCCCTCTTTTCCCTTGGATTAGTCATAAAAGAACAATCCACAACTAGCTCTTTCAAGAAATTACTAAAATCAAGTTTTCTCCGAGCTAGCCATGAAATAAAATTTCTGGTTTTACAAGGTGTTGTTTCTCTTTCCAAGCACTTCAATTTCCTTCTGGAGTCATTGTTTCCACTTGACTGGAAGCAAATTACTTATAGTACTTTTTAGTAGCATAGGACGTTAAACACATCTACCAACGATGTGAGTCTAGATCACATCCAAATTTTTTTTTTTTTTACCAATGGATTCCTCTGGAAAGTTGAACAAGTCCCTAAAATACTCAAGGCCTCTAATATGTGAACCTAAAGGGATGAAATGCCTGGATCTAATGGAAGCAATATGTGAAACACAAATGAATGAAAAACCATTATAACACTGTCAGTTCCAGCATTGAGTGAATTTTTAATGAAAACTTTGGCTTTCTGGTGATTCAATGTGTACTTCATTTGACAACCACACTATGTTCCAACAGAGGAAATATATCTTGGATCAGGTTCTCACATTACCATATTGACTTCAATGGTTCAGTGATTAGGTACCTTCTGTTACAACTTCTACCATGTCAGCTGGTAACCTACTTGAATACTGTCTTGCTCTTAACCCAGATATGCCTCAGAATTACCTGACATTAAAATGTTTCCACCAGAAATTTCATGTCTGATCAGATAATTCTGAGTAACATGACTGACATATGAACCTTTGGGAAAATGTTTCATGTGCATCTCTACACACTGTCCTACTTATAGGATGCCAGGCATATCTGGGTTAAGGGCTTCAAGGAAGGTAACACACCAGAACTTCACATACCTGTATAGGTGAGAGAGTTTCTTTTAGTATGTCATCTTGATTTGTTGATTGGACAGCATCTGTTGCCTCCTCCATCACAATTTCTGGATTTGCAACAACCCAAGCCATCATTTGGTGCTCATCCTGGAAATTAGGTAATTTGAACATTTGAGCAAATTTTCATGAGCACTCATGAACCACTCAACATAGCTACACTGACCTCTTTTTCATCTTCAGTTTCAAGCATTTGTTCTTCATCTGAATCACAGGCAGCATCTTCAATTTCTCCATTCTGTGTTTCTTCCTTCATGTCCTGTATAACTCGTGCCTTTAATTCATGTTGCACCTGCTTTTGCAATAGAGAGAATATGCATTGAAACTGTGCCACTATATACAGACCTAACTGCCACTGACAAAAAAGTTAAAATTTTCTTGGACAAAAATGGAAACAAGGGTTTCTGCTGTTAGGTACTTCATTGGTAACAGGACATGGACTCTAATTCAAGTGTATGCTCACCTCTGAATCTCCATCTCCAGTGGACTCTTCCTTAGTAGTCTTTGTAACATCTTTTTGCACTTCAGTGGGGTCAGACAATTTACATTTCTTTGAAAGCTTAGAATTTGGTGCCTGTTCTGCCTTTGGACACTTCGTCCTCTTAGTAACAGGTGCTGTTTCACCATGATCTCTTCCATTCTGACATGATGTATCAGGTGAATTTGAAGTTAAGGCATGTGGAATAGGAATTGGTCTCAATGTTGAAGTAACACATTCTTTGTTTCGCTTCTTCATCTGTTGTTGCATGACAGAGGCTAGGTTCTCCTCTTTAGCAAGCAAGGCTTCCATTGTCAAACCTCTGACTTCAAGGCTTTCAGCAAAGCAAACAAATTCTTCCAGATGCTCTATTGGCACATTGACCTCACCATTATACAAGAAGTCCAACAGGAGCACCAATAGCTCAGGAGGTATGCCATGGAAATGAATAATAGGTATGTGGAATGCAACTGGGTATTGAGGGATGGCATGTTGAAATATTCGTTCAAAGTATCCACTCCCTGCAGAAAGGATGATCTTGTGGGCTTTTAATAATTGCCCACCAGAGGAGAGAGTGACATCAACAAGAGCCTCTTGTGCACGAAGTACTTCAAATGCATGGAATGATTCTGAATGATGACTTTTCCATTTGAGATTATATCGGGTTGGTCCTTCCATGCTGATTTATAAACCATTGGAAATCTGCTTGAGAGAAATTTCCAAAAATTAAAAACCATGTCTAAAGGATAGACTTAGGGAAATTGAGTACCTCTATACCATGACCAAATATGTAAACTAATAACTTATCTGGTTTCTGCCACCTTTCTGCCTTAGTTTGCTATTACATTCTGTGTAAAACTAAGAGCTTACAACTGTCACCAGATGGAAATTTTATTGACATAGCCTTGCATCAGCTGCATTCCAAGTTCAACACGATTGCCACCTATGATGAAGGCAGTTATAAACTTGATTATTGACAATGAGTGAAAACCAGGCAACTGTACTTCAAATAAAATTTATGTTTGAGATGTTCAGGTTATTTCATACAAAAGCAACACATTCAGGCCATTTGTCACATAACCAGTCTGATTTGAATGAAACTAGGAAAATTAATCAGCACTGACGGTCAACTGGCCTACACTAAAGGCTAGATTCATGAGATCCCTGGCTCCTCAGACATAAGGTCACAAAAATTGAGACAATATTCTCTTCAAGTGCTATAATCTTCCCCTTGCAACTTCTACCCTAATTGAAAGCTCATCTAGAACTTGTTAGTTCCTAACAAACATTCAGAGCCCCTACAACCAATTCTTGTAGATCAGAGAACCTGAAAACTATCAGGTTTCAGACGTAGAAGTCAAAAGAACCAGTGAAGCTATGAAGACAGTTTGCAAGCGTACAGCCATCGCTTGAACCTGGAAGCATCACAGTTTTGTTCCTGGACCTTCTACAGTCATCTGAGTGAAACCATTTTCAAATTCAAGCACCAGAATAGTCCAGAGGAAACATCATTCTGGTACCAAAGAGTTTGCATTTGTAAAGCATTTCATGACCTAGTTTAGAAAAATTGCCTGATGCACCTACAGGGTAGGCCAAAAAAAATTTTCAGTTAAATTTAACATTTCACAGCATAGTTTCTTGAGAGCTTGAAAATATTGCAATAGTGTCTCTATATAGAACATTTATCTAGCTTTCCACTGATGTCAAAAGATTTAAGATTCAATCAGTCATTCTGATGCAGTTACTCAGTGTAACAGAGGTAGCACTTAAAAAGTGCACTTAGTGTTTTTCACTGAAGTCAGACACTTTTTCACATGACTTCAACATTCATGCAAGAGGAACATTCTATGCACATGTGTCTGAGCCAAGTGTAAAATTGTCTAACTCAAGTGAGAAACACTGAAAACAGTACCCAACAAGATATGCATTCCTTCACTATGGCAAGTAGGTGACCTCTTGCATGCACTAGCTGCCATTGCAGCATGGTGCCAAATTATCTAGCACCACCTCTTATACTCTTTAACTACATGAAAGTCATACTACAAATCTTTATTCTGTTCACATCATTCAAAAGCTGAATGTTCTACATGGAGGCACTTATGCAATTTTAGCTAACTTTTAAGGACCAGTGCTATGGAGTGATAAAGATAATCAACGTTTTTTTTGGCCCACCCTGTATATGGCCCTTGAACCTCTTTCATGACCACTTCTTTGACCATTCCCAGGATGTTAGTTTCAATCGCAAAAATTCTTCCATCAAAACTTGTGATCATGGTGTTTCTCAAGGAACATGGCTGTCACCTTTATTTTACCACCTATACTGACCAACTATGTTCTCCTGCCAAGAATCATGCTTTATTGAAATGTGCCAACGACACTGTCATTCTCTCGGCTATAAGGAACAACTCTGAATTTCATGATTATCAAGAAACCATGGATAACGTTTTATGTTTGTCTCAAGAGCACATGTTGCTGCTCAATCACACGAAGATGCATAAACTGGTCTTTCATCACAGGGACTTACAGGATGCTCCTCTTACTGGTATCTGCCACAGCCCTGTTTTCATTGGTAACTCCAAATTACCAGTGCCAGCAAAGTAAAGTATCTTGGCATTATTTTTGATGGCTTCCTCAATTTCACTAATCAATCTGAACTTGTCAGTTGCAAATCCTTCAAGTTCACCTATTGTTCATTGGCTTCTCCATCACCCTTTATATCTAATTTAATCCAGACTTGTATTTTACCTTGCATTGAATATGGGTTATGTACATATGTCTGCCAGTGCAGTAAAAAAAATAGAACCCTCATTATTAAAGGTATAAAGCACATTGCAAATATGGACACCTGCCCTATTTTAATTTTTTTTTTTATAGAAAAAAACATTCATCATCGTTTTGGCGATTTTCATTCTTCCCTGGTCACCATTCCCCTCTAATCCCTAACACTGCCAAACCCAGGTGAAATAAATTGAATTTCTTTTATGCAGAATTTTAATAGGTATTGTCCATTGGAGGGGTGAACTTTCCCTGAGTCCATTCCTCCAATGAACCACTTTGTTGGAAGCTGGTGCACACATGTACAAGACATGAACCCTTCATGTATTAGCCTATATTCCTAGACCCAGAGCGATCTTGGAAGTGATTCCATTTGCCTGAGTTACAGTCACTGCCTGGAGAATAAAAAATGTTAGATACCAACAAAAAGCAATACCATAGCAATTACTGGCTTACCATTGGCTTCGCATAGGAGTATGATACCATAGCCTAACTAAACCTGTTTAAATACATGACAATTTTAGCCCATCGTGTGCCTAGCTTCACGATTCCCTGGAGCTCAGGAATTTGTGGCCATTGGTGGGACAGATGTCTAACTTTGGATGATGTCGAGATTTTGGTCCGGGAAGGGCGAAGGTGGAACGTGGCACATTGGAAGGTGCAAGCAAGGGTGCTCCAGCACTTCTGCCACTCCTGGTCATACAAGAGCTCCACTTTCGCCATCTGTCGAGTACATTCCTATTCGTAGTTGATATATTGTGGAATAGAGGACGGGTGGATCTCGACAGTTACGGAGGATCTTGCTGAAACCGAGACATTTTCCTAAGATGCAAGAGTGGAAGGTTAATGGGAAGAAAGTCTTGTTTGAAGAGGCTTCAAAGACCTTTCCAATGACCGATTCTGTGCTTCCTTGGTCATGGTGAAGATCAATAGGGAATTGGGGTTAACTTTCGGTACTTCATGCGTAATGCATCTCCGATCGAACTCCCTTTCCCGCAACCTCATCTAACCTCAAATCTCACCTCCCTCCTATTCCGTAGCCTTACGCAAACTTATGCTATTTAGGGAGGAGGGTCGAGAGATCCTTGTAGACGCAATGGCTTGAAATACATTCAGTGAACTGAAATGTATTGTTGAATTGATCAACCTTAAAATTTTTCCCCTTCTCACATTCGTCCAATTGTTTGTGGTTTCACTTTTCGCAATGCCTCCGACTGAATTAGGAACCACGAGTGCCTATTCCTGTAGTTTTTGCCGAAATCCAGTTTTCTGAAACTGAGAGGAGTTCTAGAATCCACATGAAGGATGCCCCAAATATAATCCATTGGTGAAGTTACTGAGAAGCCTGAAATTCATCCAGAATGCCAATTTCCAATGAGCAACGTTTACAATAGTTTTGCGGGGTTCAGTCTATTCTTTTGGTGGCCAGAAGATCTTCAGCCACTTCTTTCCAAATCTCCTGAAAGTACGGAACCGCAACGGATGCGCGAACTTGTACTTATCATGGGGGGAGTATGCGAATATTCAAATCCATGCTCAAGTGTGAACGTGAAATATGAGAGTGGACATTTTAAAAATCAGAAATGCCATTTCACACAACCATCTTAACTATATGGCACTATCATGCTCTATATCGATCAATTCGTAGTTTGCAAATGCACACATTCTGATTTAATTGAATCTGTTAATTTGAAAAAAGTCTGAAAATGTGTTAAGAATATTCTATGGTCAATAGTCACAGTCATGCATTTACGAGAGCCTTCTTTTTCTGAGAAACATGCTCATTAACGTCCTTAGAGATTGCCATTATGATACGAAATTTGTGTCGAGTTTTTTTTTCCTCATATTTGCATGCGTATCTGGAAGAATAACAATACGAAAATGCGAGGATCCAGTAAGAATTGCTTAGCAGATGCCAGAATGGTTTTGAATACCTCATGTATAGGTATTTATGCCTTTTCCTTCGTTACATATATTCGTTAATCTATCTGCAAGTGATTCATACACCCGCAGGCGCTTCTTACGACTCGAAGGCCGTTTCGATTCTTTTGGTGGCGTGATCCCACACGATTCTTACTCTGCTTTTTACCTCGCTTTTATTTCGAAGTCTATGTTACGAACTGAAAATCGAGTTTCGCGCTCGAGTTATGTCTGGAGCGATGACACTGAGGAAACTGAGAAAACTCAGAAACGAAAGCTTCTGAAGACCCCGTGAAAGTGCAGCTTTCCAGCAACCCAGCCATTCACCCTTCCGCTCACATTCGTTCCTTTAACCTCTCAACTGCGGTTCAGGCTTTTTTTTTTTCTTCGATCGACTCCTTCGATCAAGCCACTCAATCATTGATTTACGACAACGTAGGCCCAGCCGACGGTCACTCTGAGACATATGGAAATGCGAGCGACCAGACGTGTGGGGAGGTGAATCGGCCACCGTATATTATAAAATAATGGCACCAGTCGGTGCCAATGAACCTCTCATTTTCCCCATCCGCAGTTGATGCACACTAAACAATCTAGAGGGAAAATGTATCAGGGCGATGTGATCGGATTTCGAAGGGCACCCGTCCATGCACGAAAGCATGCTACATGCAGAGGGAAAGAGAGACAGAAAGTAGTGAGAGAGGGGGGGGAGAGGGGAGGGAGGGGGGGAGGGGGAGGGAGGGAGGGGGAGAAGGAGGGAGGGAGGGAGGGAGGGAGAGAGAGAGAGAGAGAGAGAGAGAGATGTGCTCGGATAGTTTCGCCTGATGATCGTCAGTATGCAATGAGGAGGGAGGAATTGGTAACGGCCTGCGTTGCCACGTTTTTCCTCTTCGCACTCCTTCCAACATCACACATCGTCCAATAACCCTTCCCACGATTTTTACTCCACGTCTTTGACTCCCTCGGAAGATACCATATTGCAGAGAGTTATTTTGCTATTGGAAGTACTGAGTTTTGATGCTCGTAACAGATGGACTGAGGAAGAGGAGAGTGGCAACGCGGGCAGAGGTCCTGACGGTGTATCGATTGAGGCCACACTGGATCTCCCTCTGTTCACTTGCAGGGAGGTGGCTTGAAGGGAATGGTCGCTCCACCACCTCCGTCTCTCTCCATGACTCCTTCTAACCTTTTCCTCAGCGTCGGTCATGCCCCTTTCAGCTCCCGTATAATCCCGGACGCGCCACGATTTTCATTCTACGTTCAGTACATGGATGAACCCTGATTTTACTAGCTTTACTATCATGTGAAGCTGTCAGACCGTCGACATGGGTAGAAGTGCCGCATGGTAGATGAGTAAATCAATATCATAGAAGCCAATCCTTGGCTCTAAACGGACGTCATTGAACGCTCGTATTCAACATAGCCATTTCTTAACATAAGCATTGAAAGTGGGAAGGTCTTGTCAGGTTATTTCGATAAGAGCAGAAAAGAAAATCCCAGTTGGTAGTGCCAGCATATAGACGCAGACGAGAAAGCACGAAAGCAATGTCGAGGAGAGAGGGGTTTCCCAGGGTAAAGTCCGCCCTTGGCGGTGAGGTCCATTCTTCGGAAGGAGGGGGGAAAGAGAAAAGAGAAGAGAGGGAGGTCGGCGTCACAGCACAGCACTAGCAGCTGCTGCGCCTGGCAGGGCATGCATGCATGGGCGGGTGGCCGTCCTCCCTCGTCCGTCGTGGTCTACTGTCTGCTCTCTCTCGCTCGCTCTCCATTCCCAACCTCCCACCGGTTCATTCAGTGCTGTGCTCCTTGAATATGCACGCCGATTCCAGCCTAGACGACGTCTCCGTCATGATGTGATTTTGTGATGGATCCGTGCAATATCCCTCTTTGACATGTATGCGAAGGGGAAAGGCAGTACCGTTCCCTCCGATGCACAAGCGAGAGAAAAGTGAGTGTGCCTTACGGTGTCCACATCCACATCGGCATCGTCGCTTTCCTACGCTGTCAATCCGTGAATGAGCGACAGTGCTTAAAAACGACCCCCCTAAAAATTTGGACATGCCCACGTTCGTCCAGTTCGTTACTCACGTGGCAGCCGCCATATTGGAATTTTCTCCCGGCCTGGTTTCATCCGTTGCCCTTTTCGATGCAAACCTTTTATTTAAAATATGGCCCTAGTTTCGCTGTTCCATCGCATGTTCTTATTGGCGATGAGCAGTAGTCCTGTCCGTGCACACAGCGTGGATATTAAATGCCTGTTCCCAATTGCTCTGCCGGATTGTTGGAATTTTCCCTTTGGATTGTTGGAATTCTCATTTTAAAAAAAAGAAGTAATCCATACTTCATTTCAAACCAATATAGCTGTCTAAAGCCCATTTTTGCTAGGATATTTCTGATGGTGCTTTCCTTTTGCGTTATGCCTACAGGCTGATGCGACTGTAGGCAGAGAGAGATGTTTAATCCTGCCCTTTGGGAAACCCTGACAGAAAGAGATGAAAACCATTGTACCCCAGTGGTTCTTAAGCTATCTTTTCCTGCTTTTATGAATACTTCCATTCCCAAAGTTTTATCGGCATAGGAACAGAAAGCTTACTTTAACTATCGACTTGCAAACCTTTGATTACTCCATTAAATTGAGTACCACTTGAGAGGCCAATAATTGAATTGTACATGGGAATTGTGCTTTTTGTTGGTTGAATTCTCCAGAAACGTTTGTTACGTTGACTTCGGGGCATATTGAAGCGGAGGAAGGTCATGCATGGTAATAAAAAAATTTTTTTTTAAATTACATGGTGAATCTATCCGTTAGGAAAGCCTGCCATGACCTTTTTTTTTCAAATTCCAACTGAGATGCGTGAACATGCCGTCTGCTATAAATCCCGAATACGAGCACCGCCAAAATTTTTTGCGAGGGAAAATAATGCTTGAAACGGTCTCCACCGAATTTTACATGTCGATGACTTCATCTTCATGACGATGGAATGCATCGTCAGCCCCATGTAGCAAGTGTGTGTGTACCTGAAGGAGCGTGGTCAGAATAGGAATGCTCCATCAGGGCACACGTATGCCGAGGACATCCTTTCTTAGGGATAGTCCTTGAGTCCAGGCCACATTGAGGGTTTTTCCCTGACGTGTGGCTGTGGAATACCTCACTTCCAAAGCACAGAAAAAATCATTTTCGAAAAACCTCGTTGGCTAGCGGTGCAATCGCATTAAATGTGTGAGGCCAAAAAAGTGTCGTTCGTTTCAGACGAATACAGCACTTCTTCCTGCATGCTTTTTCAATATGAAAAATTATTGATGCCTAATTGGCATTCACTTTGAAGTGAATCAAATCATGCCAGTCTAGCAGATAGGAAGTTAGATCAATGTAAATTTGGTGCTTTAGGTGTAACCAAAAGTTCTGTTTTTCGTTCATTTGGTACAGAAAGCAATAAGGGGACTTTTGAGAAATGCTGTTTTGACTACGGGTATCGTCACCTTGTTCACATTTCTCAAAAAGGTTTCGGTCACTGCTACATTGAATTTGAAGGATATTAATGTTTCTTTTACGGGAGGCGATATACGATAGTGGGAGGTTCAGGCCTCACCAATGGCACTGTCCACGCGACTATGGTAACACCCACTTTTGCTAGATGTCCGAGACATGCATAGATGTAATCAATTGTAGTGAGAATGAGAATTGAAATTGACGTGAAAGGAGAAACAGGTTGGGTTTTAGATGGACTGCTCAGAGGTAAGTCTTCTGCGTGATAAAAAGTAGTGACGACTCTGGAGTCTTGTTTTTATCAAGTCTCAAAAACGATGTATTTCAAGTTGATAAGATGTTAGAATGAAAAGGAGGTTTTCCTTAACGTAGGAAAGCTCTCCTGTCTTTCGCAGAGATCCATAAAGTAAGCTAATTTTTTTGCAGTTCACCTGATTTACAGGATTAACAATTTTTTTTTTTAGCGATTCTGTGCCTCTGCGAACCTCTCGAAGGAGGGCTACAACATTCCTGTCCGGCGTTGGGCTCTTGTGATATTACATGGGTATTTTCTCATGGACATCATAGATTTGCCCTCTCATCTTTATGTGCCTTCCCCCCCCCTTAATCCGTTTTCTGATCGACAAATCGCTAAGACTGTCCAGTAGATAAGAAAGTAAACTTTACTCAACTTTACTTGCTGCTTACATGAACTCGCCTCTCGAAAGATCAGAATTCTAGCATTTAAAGTGCATCATCCTTCCAAAATTCTTGCAGTTGTATGGTCGACTATTTTTTTTGTTTTCTCCACGAGTTAAAACCTAAATATAGTTTTTTTTTCCTCCTGATAAGTGAACAACAATGAAGTCATTGATAATTTCTCATTTTTTCCCTCTTTTTTTTTTCAAGAATTAGACATCGTTTCCCTGAAGTTCGCCTTGACATCGATCTCGTCCGAATTTTCACCTTTGAAAAGGGGAATTCGAGATAGGGAGTAACCACTTGATATAGCGTATCCTATTTTTTTATTTTATTTTTATTGAAACGAATTTATCTTGCTTAAATGTTCTATATTGAGGACTCAAGCAAATACCAGAGGTATTGAACAGGTTGTGCGCGAAATCCTCGTGTGTTCAATCACTAGAAAATGCGTCATATGTCATCGAGTAGCTTTATTTTTGAGGAGCAAAATGTCGTACTAGAGGAATCCTCGGAATCTTGGAATTGTGTTGAGCCAATCCCTCTGTTGCTTTATTTTTCGGATTGAATGAGGGATGCCAAAAGTGAGGCCTACAGAATGCTGTAACCTGGAATAACGTTTTGGAATAGAAAGAAAATTCCAGGATGTGAGAGAAAGTGAAAAGGAAAATTTTCGGCGCAGGCAAGGGAGAGGCGGTTCCCTGAACCCCCCCCCCCCCCCCCCCCCCCCCCCCCCCCCCCCACCTCTCCCCCCCCCCCCCCCCCCCCCCCCCCCTTTGGCATCGGTGTACAACGCACGTTTTGGATTTAGCGGGCTCAGCTGCAGGCCACAGATTGCAGCCACAATCACCCAAAAGTTTGGGCACCCGTAGATACCTGAATATAACGAATAGCATATCATGCCATTTTCGCCGGCTGGTATGAATCCGTTTTCTGACGTCTTTTTGCTTGTGACTGTTAACACTGAGCCCTGCAGCCGTCTTATGACGTCTTACGCCCATATATTTCCAGGGCTCATAGTGTTTAAGTGACAAATGTGAACTTTCTTTTGTCGAATTTTTGTTATAGTGTCAAAAACCTCAATGAGGAAGAATAAACTAGATAGAATCGAATTATCGCGGAAAATGCCTTCCCCTAATATAGGCAATGGTTATGGTCAAGTGATAGTAAAATTTCTGGAGGGAAAAAGTCCCGGATGTCAATATCTGAAAGTCTGGGTTTGTGAGGTGACTAAACACATTTTCACATTTCACATTTTGAAACTGACTTCGCAATCGAAACCATTTGCCCAAGCGAAGTGCTTTCGTTCCGCCACAAACACATGCTCGGGTGTGGTAAACGAAAGAATACCGAACTACTCCATTCCGATAGATATCTGATGGCGATTAGCTTCCTGGTCTCATATCACGTTCCTGAGTGCACAATAGTTAAGGTTTTTGGAAATTTAGTTTCCTTTTTTCAAGTTTCATGATATGATAACCCAATCTAATACGGTTGGAAGGAACCTTGACGCAATATTATTCAGGTGAATCTATCGTCGCCCTTGGCAAGGGAATAAATTTTTAAAGTTTTATCTTTTAAGTATTTTTTCCTTCTCCATTCGTCAATGAAAGAGCCTCTGTAGGTCAACGGTTCTCGACCTTTTTATTAGCAACGGCATACATTTTACACAGCAAGGTATCTGCTACAAAAATGTAAGAAATCCAGGATCTCTGAACTCGTGAAAGTTTATTTTGAACTGCCACTTAGCTAGACGATCATTTCGAGGTCAATTCAAGTCTTGTTTTTTTTTATTTTATATTTAATTTATATCGCTTGAATGCAACACCTGCCCTTGCGGCAGGTTTTGCCCAGAAAATCAAGATTGACTCGATATTAGAAGGGAACCCACGCAGGTCATTTTTATGCTCAGACGGGATTTTTCTTAATGGTTGACCGAACAAAAGGGATTTTTGTATCCGGGCCACCCTGACCTAAGCCTCTGAAACCTTAGTCTAATGCGCGAGACCTCCAAGACTCTGCTTTTCTAGGCCTTCGACTAGGAGGTAGGACCTATGTTCTGTCAATTCTGAAACACCCTATAAACTGGAATACGAGGAAACAGACATGCATGTGTGATGGCAAAAACAATCAAGATCTTCATTGCAGCAGCAATATTGGCCTTGATAGATACTCTCTGAATGAAATTGCATTCCAGGAATACGCTATACGAGTCGGTATTGAAAATAATTGATTCATATTGTGTTCTCTTGATATATAGTTTTATTAACTGTAGACCGAAGTGAGAAGTGTTATACTATATAAGCAGTTCTTGAAGAGGTATGCCGTCTACTCCATTGTAGCCTCCTGGCTTTCATGCCTTCCTTCGGTGACAGGCCAAATGAAAAATGTGCGGATACCCCACGGCACCCATGGCGGCCTCTCGCGGAACCCCTGGGTGCCTCGACACACAAATTGAGAGCCTGTGCTCTTGTTATTCAAGTGTTATCTTTAGAAAGTATATTGTTTTTTATGTTAAATACCGTTGAACACTGGCATTTAATATTTTTATTTTGTTGCTTTGTATAGGCTTGGTGCTTATCGCCCTTGCGCTTATTTGCGGAGTCGAATCTTTGTTTAGCCGCTAAAAACGGATGCGGAAATCTCACATTCGAATTACAGCACACTGCAAACACTTTTTTTTTAAATCGATGGTATACTTTGCTGATGAGAAGGAAGGAAAGTATGAATTCGTCAAAGTTTGTTATCCAAGCAGTCTTCATTCAATGCGTTTTGCTTCCTTGCTATTAAAGATGTGTAAGATACCTATAAAGTGAAATAATGAGGCGTTGGTGTATCGCTACCGCTGTTTAGGTCGTTGTTCACTGAAAGACAGTGGCATGGAATAATTGGCAAGTGTGTACATACACTGCATGGATGAATGTATTCATTCACGCGGATAAGGACAGGACCGGCTGAGTTTGTTGAGTATCGCTTACCGTGTTCCATTCTATCCGTCGTCGTGTGAGGACTGCCATTCCATATTCATACCGTTATTGGACGTGATTTATAGGATATAATTTCAGCAAGCATCTATTTAAAAAAAAATAAAGTTCTGTGAATCCTGAATTCATTGTTTTGGGATATCTTCGCGGGAGAGATCCTGTGAGAATTATATTTTTATAACTGGAAAACAAAATATTTCCTCGATTTGACTTGATACATTTCAATGCATTATCCTTGATGAGGTTCCATGAGAAATCGACCGGAATCAGAGAAACTCCTGTTTTGGAATTATTTTATTTATCCGCATTTTCAGTGTAATTCACTCGGGGTCTCGTGGTCTTAAATTAGCTCGAACTCGCTTCGATACTAGTTAGCCTCTTCGATGCTAGTTTTTGGATCGTACTTTACCGTTTTTCCTGTGTGCGTGGTAACGAGATGAGATCGCAAAAGAAAGGGAAGAAACTGCGGAAGCGAAGTTTCAATATTCCCTTTGCTATCAATCAGGCATGCTTGAACATAAAAATATTGTTATGCCCCTGCAGAGGATGTCAAACAGGGTTGGGTTTTAATTCGTGACCTATGCACCGCATCGCTATTTTTTGCGATTTCCTCTTTTTTTTTCTACTGTGGGAGTAACAAAGCATTTGGGTGTTACTCATCCGTCCTTTTTTTTTCATCTTCCAGGCTCGCCCTCTACGTCTACGAATACCTTCTCCACGTTGGTGCTCAGAAAGCAGCCCAAACTTTCCTCTCGGAAGTGAGTCGTCCCATCCTAGTTTGATTTCGTGTCGTAGACTATCTTGCTTATCCTTTCTATCTCGTGCAGATAAGATGGGAGAAGAACATCACCCTCGGGGAGCCTCCGGGTTTCCTTCATTCCTGGTGGTGGTGAGCAGCTTACCAGTTATCCTTCGTGACTAAATTAAGTCCTTTAGTTGCTTCCTCATCGCTCTTTGTTCCTCCCGTTCCAGTGTCTTCTGGGATTTGTACTGCGCAGCACCAGAAAGAAGAGATACCTGTGAGCACTCCAGCGAAGCCAAGGCCTTCCACGACTACGTGAGTTCAAATTCTCCTTATCTGCCTTCTCCCATCCTAGTCTATGTAATGCTTGGATGGCCGTTGGGAAGGAGGGGGAGATGTCATGCCTGGCTGTTCCCTCGTCGTGAGGACGTTCACTTCTTTCTGCTTCAGTGTCTTCTTGCACTAGATTTCCCAGTTCCCCCCCCCCCCTCCCCCTCCTCTTCGTATATGCCGACTATCTATGTAGGATATCATACCTGGGAGAATGGAAAACAATGCAGGGATTGGTACATAATTTCCAGGCCCCCTTCCTCAATCCAGACGGCTATAATACTTGGATGGGACTAGGAACGAGTTGAAAATGAGGAAGGGTGATGATGTTTCTGTCCTTTTTCAGGGCTTCGTGAACTCAGGTTATGGGGTGAACGGCATCGCTCATGTGAGTCCCATGCTTCCATTCCTCTCAAAAGACACGTCGTATCACGTGTGAATGCGACTGTATCATAAGTAGGCCTTCGGTGACATGCATGCGTGGTGTGGGAAAGGGGGATTCTGGTTCTGGACCGTGGGATTCTTTCGCCCTCTGCCCTGACCTCATCACCACGACCACGGCCCTTAACTTGTCACATCACGTGACATTCATCTGAACCACAGATGATCCACATAGACCTGCACGTACTGGATAAGAGCTATCTCGTGAGAGAAATCGCGAAAAAGTAATGTTTGGAGTTTTTTTGGGAGGGGGGAGTTCTGGTTATTTCTGATTGCCATGGAGATGAAGGGAAGGTAGGGCGTGCACCTTACCTCTGTTGGCCTGCACGGGTCGATACGTCTACTCCTACACCTTGTAATACGCATCTACATTATCCAGGTCAGTAGCGTTGAGATTTTGTTCCCGCTGTCTTGGCGCGGTTTCTCATTGACCCATAGGACTTGGGTTGCATTCCCCTTTTCGTTTTTTTTCCCCTTTCGCCTTCCCACAGCCCTCGACTCGTTCCACCCCGAGACAGATCGATTGACAGGAACCATTGGCGATAGTTGTGGAAAATTAGAGAGAGCCACGAACTTTGACCAATATCCTGGTGAGAGAGGAAGGATAATGGAAATGAATGAGTATCAGAAAGCGGTACGACGCGAGTAAACTATTGAACCTTCAGCTCTAGATTTCCACACGATCCAGTGTCGCAGATCTAGTTGAAACCGTACAAGTTTACTCGGTTCGAGAGATTGCTGTGTGGGATCGCTAGTGCTGTCTCAAGTAAGTATCCTCTTTATATGAAGTTGCTTTGAATCGCGACATTTTGAACCATTTAATGAACTTGAAATTCACGTGCATTCGTTAAATCACGGATGCGGGCGGAGAAAAAATGGTCGGACTGGTGAAGTCATTGCTGATTTAGGAGACCAATTTATCTTTGTCTCTGCTGCCTTCAAGGTCAGTTCCACGTCGACGACTGGGACCAGAAAATATTCAGTTGTACAGAATCATGGATATGAATTATGAATCACCTGAGATTCATCCTTACGTGAGATCTATCAAGATTTGAGACCCAATAGATAGAAATTTAGATAGAGTCCTTGAGTCTGGGGCCCCTTGGCTGTATGGTCTTACGGATCTCTCCCTGTGTTCTAGTTCATAGACACGAGAGAATGCGGAAGAAATGACTTTTGCAGTGATGCAATATTCAGACAAACCCGTTCCTTCCGTTTTCACTCACACTCGCAATCCACCTCCAGGAGCGATTTCCTTCCCTCGAACGCGCCATTCCCCATAATTGAGAAACTTTTAAATTCGAGAAGGGAGAACCTAGTGACGAGGAAGCGAATAGAGTCTTTGACAAGTGCTTGAGGGCGGGTATTGAGAACCCAGAGTCAGAGGTCCAAGGATGACAGTGACGAGGGTGCTCAGAGCCACAGGTCCGAGAATGACAGTCACCAAGGCCTTCCAGCTTCCTTATCTTCCGCATAGGGTTTCTGTGGAGGACGGCCATACTCTCAAATGGAAGAAAGTGATGCAAGACAAAAGAAGTGACGCTAAGCTTACATTCCCCGTACAAAAATCTCACCGGTTATTCACCGTTGAATCAACGTTGATTCAACGGTGAATCACCGGTGAAATGTGTTTCAACGTTGAATCAACGTTGATTCACCGGTGAATCAACAGCGGGTGTTGAAAAAAAAAAAGAAACTGTCCTCTGACAGCTTGGGAGAGGGGAAAAAAGAGGGGAAAGAGGGGAATCCCCGATATTTATCTGATGGTTAGGGGAAAATTCCCCCGTGCACCTTCGCACTTGTCTTTGTTATACTTGTGAGACGCGGTTGAACTATGCTATTACCCACATCTCTCGGTAGCCGTTAAGACTGCAAGTCAGTCTCTCCCGGTGTCAGAGGTTCGGCTTAAAGATGTTGTGCAGTGATGTGAATTGGTTCCTTTGACGTTAGGCTAGCTTATCTCAGGATTTGTGAACTTTCAACTATTCAGCCCGGTAAAGGCTAATGTAAAATGCGTTCAGAATTCTGAGACTAATAATCAGACCGACAAGTCTTGAGCTTATATTGCTTATATATAAAATTTTGCCGACTATTGCACGATGGGATTCTCTTGTGCAAGTCATGTTTTTATTCTTAGATCACAACACCCATATGAGTGTTGTGATTAACATATCTCAAACATAGCCTCAGTGTTAACCCATCAAGCCGGTCATTAAACAAGGCGGTAATACATCCATGAGATGTCATTGAAGTGCAATACTGTACCATACTGGACGTCACTCACGTCTTTCCGCCGGAGTAGATACGAGTATTCCATAGCGGACATCACAGTGACGTCGAACCCACTTGAAGGGTTAATGTTACACCTATCATATAAGACGAGAATCACAGCAGAGTATTTCCATTATTGATATTGCTTCATCTCCATTTCGTTGTTGAAATCACTTTTCACTGTATATTTCCATAAATTTTGCTTTAAATAAATTATTCATAATATATTATAATAATTATAACTCAATGTTGAATAGTGTTGAACCCCTGTTGAATAGACGTTGAAAACCAGTGATTCAACAGTAATTCACCGGTGAATCAACGGTGAATACTGTTGAACCCCTGTTGAACAGACGTTGAAAACCGGTGAATCAACGGTGAATCACCGGTTTCAATTTCAACATGTTGAAACTTTTTCTGTACGGGCACTTGCCTCGTTTTGGTCCATTAGCCGCGAAAGGTCTCGTGGGACTCAGCTTGGAAGGTCCCGCAAGTCCTCAGAGGTGAAATGACCATATACGAGGAATAAATAAGGTTACACAACTGCCATTTATTGCATCCTGAATGCGCCATTCCATCCTGTGGGCCAGAATCGTCTGGAGTCTCCCCGAACTGGGCCATCTCTTAGGAAAAACCTCATGAGATCCTCATGAGGATTACCTCACGAGAATTTCCTCATGAGAAAATCGTGAGGTCTCATGAGAGCTCATGAGTTTGTAGTGAGGGTTTTTCAGCAGGGCGGGAAGGGTAACAACCGTTCGGGAAGGCAAGGCAGGGAAATAAAAAAAAAGAAGTAACTGAAAGAAAAGCGAGGGGGAAAGAATTAAAGTAAGGAGTGAAAAGAAAGAGCGGGAAGACGAGAGATGGTCAGAGTGTTTGGGATGAGATGGTAACGGATCGAAAGAAGGTAAATGACGACTGTCTGCGAAAAAATAGAGGCGCCGGGAAGATGAATCCTTCGAGCGGAACCGGGAAGATATCTCCGAGTGACTCGTGTCGGTAAGTACAGGGTCGAGAAAGTGCATTTTTTCTCCCTTGCCGAGCGCGCAGGCAAAAAACATCTCGGTATTGAGCATTCCCTCGATCCTGGGGTCGTGGGATTTCTCCCCGACGAGGAGATCGAAGGTGAAAAGTGGAAAACCTGTCAAATTTGCCCGACTGTAATGCAGAGCCGGCCTTGTCACCTGCATAAAAAAGGGATCACGATTTTGATAGCGTATTTCACGAGGTGAGAGATGCTCATCGCCGAATTGTTTTCGGGCGGCGTCTTGGGCATCGGAAACCTCTTCCTTCGCTCTTTAATCAATCGGTCGGCGGTCGGCCTTGGGTTACCTGGCTTTCCGCTGACAGGTTAATCGTTCCCTTCGCGCCGCTTTTCAAGTGACCTTATTTGATTCCAAGGTTGAGAGAATACAGTCGACGCTCGATATAACGAACTCGAAGGGACGGGCTAAAAAAAATTCGCTATAAGGAAAATTCGTTATTGGGAATTTCCCTCATTTCACTGAAAAATAGAAAAATAGAGATCTGTTAAACTCAGGTTAATGTCTCTTCAAAAGGTCATTTAGTGTAAAAAAAAAGTAAGTCGTTGCCCATTCATAAAATAAGTGCGAAGGCCTAAGCGCATGCAATATCGCAAAAGTACAGTCTCGAGAGTTACGTATTTACCTAAATGGGTACCTAAATTATGTGTGATAAAAATCGGACGAGTCGGCAACGCTCTCTATTCATCGGAAACAAAACTCCAAACGGCTTTCTGCCGCTCTCCTTCCTGGATGAGTCTTCGTGCCGTGGTCTGCAGAGCACTCGATGTTAGAAAAGTTTCAGGCTCAATATTCGGCCTCTTCGTGATAGTTAGCCGTTTTGTTCCTTCGGACAAAAAAATGGTTTCATAAAACCGTACGATTCGTTATGCATATAGCATGTGAATGGGCAAACGGCAAGGAACTGGAAAAAAATTTATAGCAAAGCCTTTTCATAGCTTGGGTAGCACTTATTCCCTTTTTTCGACCCCTTCCCTTTACGAAATTCCTCTCTGAGAGCATCCAGAGGAACGAAATTAGATATGTTTCGCGCTTCAAAGCATGCTTCGCACCCTCTCGGGACAGAATCGTTCCAGCATATTCGGAGTTCCATCTCCCCAGGGTTGCGGAGTACAAGGAATCTCGCTTTTTTTTTTAACTTTCATACCTATTTTTTTTATTATTCTCCCCTGGATAGCCACTCCTGAGGGGTTCTTCGAGATAACTCCACCAAAAGAAAGGTATTCACTAGAAGATAACGATAACTGCCCTCTTTGCTGCGTGCGAGGGAACTTTTCACGATGAAAAATGAAATTAGCAGTAGTCTATTTAGGCTTAGCGTGCGGGCTTAAGGTGTTCCGTTTCCCAGGGTTGCCGGATGTCGTGCCGGAATAATATCGGATTCATGACTGCTTCTGCTTTCGTGTCGGCACCTGGGTCTTCTGTTTTTAATTTATGTTACATTTTTATGCTCAAATCACGGGACGAAGTGAGACCGAAACGCGATTAGCAGTGGGACACGGACGAACCGTGGACGGACATTTTGGCAACCAACGTGAGTTCGAATTTCGTCGGCAGTCCGACTGCAGACCTCGTCGAGACGGTGAAACTCCTCATAGGCCTAACGGCACGCGTCCTTACTGAAACGGTTTTTGGAACTCGAAATAATCGGTCTGACGTTGTGCATCCTCTGCGAGATGTCTCGAAAACCCAGATTAACCCTTTTAGGCCTGATTGGCTCCGTGGGTTAAGTTTTCTTTCAACGAAAAAAGGTAAGCCTAGGACTAACATGAAGACAGTCCGTGAGTTAGGTCTAGGCCTAACGTTATAACGTTAGGGATAGACACTCGCTGTAGTGAGTCCCGTAGAGAAGAGGGGTACCAGAAAGGGAAAGTCTCTGAAAAATAAATTTCTTCATCTACAGGATGAGACATAGACACTCTGGCACGGGAAGAGTATGGAACTCTTGTCGACTCGGCCGGATGTTAGTAACGCACGAAAGAGAACCAGTCGCCATGGAGATGAATATCAAAGCCTCTCCGTTACCAGATTCTCTTTAGCGGTTCTGATAAAAGTACGGAAAATGTTTCGGATGCCAAAACCGAATCTCATACCAGTAAGTGTACCTTTGGGGAACGGCTTCCGAGATGAACCTTTACCTTTGTACGGTTGTTTTCAATGGAGACTCACAAGTACACAAATGCATCTGAAGACCGTTAAGCAAATACGAAGGATCGTACCAGAAGAGTGTACTTTTTCGTGCAAAATCGCTCCCTAGACCAAATTAATTAATTTAGACGTCGAGAAGTAATCGAATGAGAAAGTACTCACCCCACAAAGTGAAAAAAAAAAATCTTTAGAAACTTCTAAAAAGGTAAAGGCGAGGTTCCTAGGAACGGTAACGAGATTGCCCCGTGCATCTCTTCGCGCGGAAGTCAGCGAACGGAGGCATTATGAGTCTCGGCGGATTCAAGATTTCATGCCATTTTTTCAGTAAACTTGAACTTTTTGGAAGGATTCTTCGGTCTTCTCGTCGCTTCGAGAGACTTCTCCGAGGCGGTTAACGATTTTCATAGCTCCGAGAACGAAGTCCACGAGTACTTCACGAAGTGGTATGGATAACGCTCTCCATCGCTCGGGGTTCTGCAACCGGTTCGCTTTCGGACGCATTCATCCCCTCCCCTCTCTGTTCGAACGCTCATCCTATCACGACGCATTCCCGCAGGGTTGAAAAAAAAGAGCCCCTGACGGACCACCGGCCGGACGTCCCGTTATCCTAGTTAACGTCGGAGTCCGTTCTTCCCGGGCGGGAGGATCGTTGAGGATCATTGGGGATCATTCCTCCGCGAGAGGCGGAAGCGAGACCGCGTCATTGCCTCCTCTTTCCGCGCCGTTTCCAATCGCTTCCGCTTCGCACGCCGCGGAAGGAGGCGAAAACTCCGAAACCGACTCAAGTCCCTCGGTCGAACGCCTGGAGCTGGCAGCCTATCCCCCCCCTCCCCCCCCCCCCTCCCCCGAATCTCAACCCCCTCGTTCCTCTTTCGATCGGCGAGGCGAAGGGCATGAGGGGAGGAAGACGAACCCGACGGGAAAATGAATGGGATTCCCCATCTCTCTCGGAAGTCTTCTGGGCGATGAACCCGGAATCGCACGAAGGCGTCGGCACGAAGGGGATCGACAGGGATGCGGATTCTTTCTTCCGTCTGGGATTCCGATTCGGCTCGCGGCGGCGCACGAGGTCGAAAAGCGATACGAGATGAGAGACGTAGAGGTTGCATCCTCACTCAGACCTTGAAAACACGAAACCTGCCGACCTTGGAGACGCGATCCCCCTCACCGACCTTGCAGGCACGAACCCAGACGCTTTGGTTCCTCGTAGTCCATCTCACCGTCACCCTCAATCTCCTAAGCCGAACCACATGCAGCTCGCCCTCTCGCATCGCGGTCTCTTTACCTCGGAGGAATCTTCCCGACGGGCTCACGATAGGCTGACCCCCGTGATAGTGCCATCCTCGCCGACACCATCGTTTCTACGAACGTGCTCTTTCCCACGTAGATCCTCGATTTTGTGCCGAGTGGCACACGTGCCGTCGATCTCATCCGGTACTAAACATGGCTACACGTATGTCGTCACCGTGAGAGGCGACTCGTCGCCTCGGTAGGGATGGTGCACGGGACCAGCGTAGAGTATCGGAGGGAAACGAGGATGACAATACGAACTTCTCGTCTTCGGAGGCTGCGGGTTCGTTCGATGCGGCACCACCAGCGTCGCGTCGAGGTTTCGCCGTACCTTGAGCGGTCCGTTCCCCGACGATGCGTTCGAAATCGGTCGGATGCAAGTACTTAGCAAGTCGCAGAAATCTCACTTTTTCCTGTTTCAATATATAAATCTAATTGTCTCCTTCTGTCTGCTTCCCAGTACTTATCGTAAATGTTCCTACATTTCGTCTTCCCCTTGGAGTTTTCACGTCAAGTTGGACGATAAGATGTTTTCAGGTTCAAACCGGCACCAATTGGCAGCACCAACCGACGGCCCTAATTTACTTTTTAAAGCATGGGGGAAATGTCGAGAGATACCTCGTGGTAGAGTTAGTGAATAAATCCTGTGACTCAAATTCATGGGCTATCTAAACCTGCTCGAATCGGTAGCGAGATTAATTAATAATGTCAATAATTAAGTTAAATTAAACCCGGACCGAATGAGCTTCGCCCGTTTGGACGATAAGAGAGTTTTTCGATAGGTATGGCTAAAAAAAAAATAGCGAGGTGCAGAATGGCACGCTCAGACGTGGTATGCAATTCGTCCATTTAGGTTAAAGTATCTCATTCTGATTCTACAAAAAAAAAAGAAATCAGTCTAAATGAAGCTACACAAAAAAATTGTTTTGTTGTTCGTCTCCATGGAAACCTGATGAAATGAGATTTCTTACAAATTAGATTTACCTGCTACATATGAACCTTTATCCTCCTTGTTTCCCCCCCCCTTCCCCCTTATTCATATATATCAACCGGGGATGTTCCCCGACGAAAGAAATGGATTCATCTTGGAAATATGAAGGAATCGCGAGAGAGTTCCCAGAAGACACTTGCGTTTCGCACGGTTCGTTCTCCGATTTCCTGCAGCTCTACCTGTTTCGTCTTCGAGTCTCGTCCGGGCGGACGGCGGGCACACCACGTGTACCAAACGATAGGCTGAAAATCGGAAAATTAATGCTTTATATGTGAAGCACGTTTTCCTGACTTGTCGCAAGTTTTTTCCTATCTGTTTTTATTTTTGCTTGTCTCCCATCTCCGTTGCAAGTATGTATATTTTTTACTTTTCCAAAATTTCTTCTTGGGGGCACAGAACTTCGAGGATCGCTCTTTGAGTATTCCTGTAGTGAAGGTTAAGTTGGGCTTTTCTCGATTTCCCATTTCTCCGCCTCGCGGTTACACCCGTTTATATCCCATCAGTGTGTTTCCTCGACTGCGCTAGTCCGCTCAGTGAGAAAAAAAAGCATTTAGAGGATAAAGAAATAAAATATTGAGGGTTCGTTTTGAAACTTCCGAAAAAAAAAACAACCCGTACTATCTGTCTGCCAAGCGCAACGCAACTAAACTTTTGAAGGACTCAATCGGAAATCGACTCCAACGCCGAAATCCGCCAGCTCTGCTTTTTTTTGCGTGGGGCGTTATTGTCTGACTTGCTGGTGTTTCATCCAGAACACCACGAATATGTTCATCGGGCTTTGAAATATAGAAGGATAAGGATGGACAGTACAGCTGTGTGTTTCCTACATGTGTGAACCAATAAAGTGTTATTTTCCCCCTCGGATGTTTCTTTCTTATTCAGGTAGATAACTTATTGAGTGACCCTCGCTATCTTCCATAGCGGCTGAAGAAAGAAGCTACTGAAAAAATCATGAAAGTGCCAATCATTAGAAATAATGATGACATGGCAAGACCTGTCGATACGCTAACGAAACGATAGCATAACAATGTTTAATGAATTTGGGTATGGAATGCATGAGAACCGACACGGAGCAGATGAGGAGGCACGGCATCCTCAGACTCCCCGCGTTTGGACTCGAGATGACACGAGCAGACCACCCGGGGGATCTCATTCCCAATTGCCTCTTTCCGTCTCTCGTGCTCTCGCCGCAGACTCCACACGATTCGCCGAAGGAAAGTGACGTCGGCAAGCTCATTTCCTTCATCAGGCGGCTCGTAGACCTCACGAAATCGTATTACCGAGCTCCACCTCGTAATCGGTCTTAAAACATTGAAGCGCCTACGCCCGGTTCGACCTCGTTCTCTCTCGATGTCCTTACTCATGCATGGAACCGCCCTCGATCCTTCGAGCCGATTGTAAATAATGGAACGCTCTATTCCCGGAACGGAGCACACTCATCATCCCTATTAGACGTCGCATCGATGCTGGGATGATCGTCATCGTCCAACCGTAGACAGCAGCTGCCAGTGAGGGAAGGAGGAGATGAATACAAGCTGATGAAACGTCCAGGATGAGAGATGAGAATGGAGGAAATGGAAAGAGATGGCGAGTGCGCATGCGCAGCGGCGGCAGAGAGAGGGGGGGGGGGACGACACATCCCGTGGAGAAGGGCTGGCGGGCTCCACTCTTCCCACGGACTTTCAGCCATTTATTCGGTGCATCCCGATCCCTTCTTGCATCTTCCAGCGCCTCGGCGCCAGTGAGTCGTTCGATTGTTGGAACTTGGGAATTAGAGGCGTCTCAGGAATTCTATCGATGTGAGTATTGCATTCTTGCAAAAAATCTCCGTTCGAAACCATTGCCTAGGTCCGTCTGCACCAATATCGTTTGATGATGGTCACGATGATCGTGGGTCCTCGCCATTGTATTGGACATGGAGAGGTCCGATGATCGTAGGAGTATCTAATATACGCTGGAATCGTCGACACGTGGCGACGACAGAATCCAGCAGAAGATGCAATGATAAATGAGACTCGTTTGAGGCAAGGTTGCTCAGGCGGCACTATTCTGCAACCGTCTTAATTAAGTTTTGTCCATTTTGCGATGAGACCATCTGACTTCATGAGGTTCATCCTAGTAGAAGTATCCCTTTCATCTCTACGATGATCACGGATGGCCCTGAGGATGGCAATAGCAGCACTTGTAATCGAGAGAACGATAAGGCAGACTGGGTGTATGAATGGCCCATTCAGGAGGCAATAGCTCCCGTGGCCCTCACCGTCTCTGCCCCTAGTCCATGCTTCCATTCGTTTCTCCAAGGGTTCTCCTTCGATGGCCTCATTTCCGCTCGACATCACTTCAGATTGGCTCAAAAGGGGAGAGTACCCCTTATAGAGACCGATTTCCAAGCCAGGGCAAGCGAGAAAGCTTGGGTCAGACGGACAGACAGGCGGAATTCACACACGCGCGCTCACGCAGGCACGCACGCATGCACGCAAAACCTTATTATGCTAGCGTGATCTCTTTGAGTTTTCCTCCCATTGGCAGATTCGATGGCTGGAGGGATCCTCACATCAGGATAGAAGTCAAATCAACAGACCACAATCATAACCGAGTCATACTGCTCAGAATTCTTCTTGACCATTCAAATAATATGAAAAGACATTCATATACGATAGAATCCGTTTGCAGTGAAGTACTCTAGCATCGTTTACCGAAACCTTCTATCGCCCTTGTACACGAAGCAAGAGAGAGACAGAGACGGAGAGATCTTGCACGCTGTGTCTAAATCAACAAACACCTGCTCGCGCTTTCCCTTCCATCTCGTTCTATTCCAAATAACAAAGGTCTCATTCATCGATTGCGAAAGGATGGGGTGAAAGCCGAAGCGCATTAGAGAGGATGAGCGAAGATGAGAGCGGCTGCATTCAATCAAGGATTTTACGGGACTCGCCATCACAACGACACCTTCAGCTTTCGCATCGACACGAGAGCGCTCAACGTCAGTTTCTTCCGATTGTATTCCTCGAACTCGTGACATTTTCGCTGATACTTTGGAAGCACGAAATTGATTTTCTCATCCCTCTTGCAGACGAGTTTGAACCCGACGATCATCGCAAGTCGATCGGCAGTAGACGTGAACGCCCGGAAATCGGCTCGCCGGGTCTTCAGTGCCGGGATTGTCCTCTCCGGGGGACTCCTCATCTTCATCGGTCTGTATTCGCCTTTTCGGGGGGGCTCCTCGTCTTCATCGGTCTATGTCCATACCGCCATCACTCCAATTACGTCGATTAGGATGAATCTCAGGGAGGAGAGGGAAGGAAGCCTTGCGAGATTCTCATTCTCCGTCACGGTTCCCCCGGAGATTAAGCCGAAGATCTCCATCGTAAAGAGTGCCAATATATCAAAGCAGGTGATTAAGACAGCAAAGGCTGTGCCTCGACGTCACGACCCAGATCCTCTTTCCGAATCTGCGTCGGTCTTTCATATCTACAGGAAAGCGGAGTCTAAAGTCCGCAAATAACCCCGCGATAGAGGAATCCGAGATTCTTTTTTTTTTTTTCGTCTTCAGTGAGTATTCCTGGAAGACCTTTTAATACATCTCTCAAATTTCTAATTTTCCAAATTCAGATTTGATATTTTTCAGAATCTCAAGGATTTCATGTGCCTGCAGCAGCATAAAAACTGGAATTTTCAACCGTCAGTACATTCCACAAGCATTTCCTGTACCCACTGAACCATAGGATGAGTTTAGGGGAGTTTGCTGAAATTAATTTTGATTATATTGTATATCATTACAGCACGACAGTACAGGATAAGAATGTACGACAGCAATGTAACCAATACCTAAAGTTCTATACTTGAGCGCGTAATGTATGGTCACGATCCCTGGCGATCCACCAGGAAGGAAGGGGGGGAACTAAGCCGCTAATAGTCTTCACCTAAGTAGACGCAGGGATTCATTTATCTCGACTTCATCACGTGTTTGCAGTTGTAGACCTACAGATTACGAACGGTCCATGCATATAAAGGATGAGTGAGAAAATGGGAAACTCCAACGATGAGTCGAACGGGGGAAAGGAAGTATGAGACCCAGACTCCGCCTACGCCTGAAACACTTGTCAAACGAATGCTCATTCTATTACGAGGATGAGAGGCTCCCGTCCCCGTCTTAAAACGGAGGATGAATTCCACCTTCAATTACTCTGTGGCGCTCCGCTTTCCTCAAAGGGAAAGTTGAGAAAGGAGAGGAAACTTCATAAAGGGGAAAATTGGAACGGGGAACGAATAGAACGGAGAAGTGGCAGTCGTCGATCCGGATGCCATGGAAACGAATCACATGAAAGCATAATGGTAGCTCGTCTCCTCCCGTGGCTCACGTGCATATTTTCTCCTGCGAATCCCCGCCGTCGCGAAGAGACCAGACCCGCACCCGCAGAGTTCCTTTGCCGATCTATGTGGAAATCTTCCCAAGTTTCCTATAGATATCTCTATAGGAATTCAATGTTGCCATCAATTTGCATTTCTACGGATATTTTTTTAGAAAATAGTCGACGACTATTTACCCTGTGTGATTGACCTGTGTGTGCGACACACGGGTTGTCGTAACAAAGGACATAGTTCCTCAAGGGATCACAGTCACAGTACAGTGCTACTGTGACCTTCTGCGAGAGAAGTTGCGTCCCAAGCTGCGTGAAAAACGCAAGGACAGGCTCGAGTCTAGAACCATCATTCTTCACGACAACGCCCGGCCACATATCGGCGTTGCAGTGACGCCTTTATTGGAAAAATATGGTTGGGAAGCACTCCCTCATCCCCCGTACAGTCCGGACATGAGTCCCCTGGACTTTGATCTCTTTCCAAAACTGAAGGAGCCCATGCGTGGGACCAGTTTCGGCAACTTGGATGAGTTATCACTTAACGTGACCCTACGAAACCGCCAGCTCGACTTCGACGGACTGCTAACCGGCATCACAGACCTACCACGTCGATGGGAAAAGGTCATTGCGAAGAACGGACACTACCTTAAAGGGCTGTAATGATCTTTCCCCCCCAAGGTAAATGCCTTTTTTTTTTTACACATCAGTGTGCATTACTTTTCGGATGACCCTTGTGTTTAAAAAAATCAGCTCCATCCTTTTTCAAGGGGGATATGCGGATCCTTTTCCTGGGGAGTATTACGTTTTATGTGGATTCTACTGCAGGAGTTTCATCACTGTTGGAAGATGGTAAATTTAGCCTCTTTTATTTAATCTCTTAGTAAATTTAAAAAATCACCACGGATGGTATTGAATATGATGGGTCGCAACCCATCCAACCTCAGTCCCCGTCGCATCGTTCTAAACCTTTCGTTCTTTACATATCAGTTGATATTCTTGGTACCTCTTTCTGTAATGGAGTTTTGCAGCGATTTAAGTGTCGCATGACATCCTTACTTATTGTTTCAGCACGGGACCCAAATCTTTCAGAATTTATCGCAGGAGGTTCAGCAACAGCAGCGGAATCTTCTTGGCGTTATGTTAAAATTGCTATTATTTCCAAAGTTCTACTTCAAGAAGCATCCAAATCTAACTTTTGATGAGATTCTAATTTAATCCGAATCTCTATTCCTTTGAAATGACGAATTAAGAGTTTAGTAAATTAATTTTCCCGCATTTAAATGGAAGTTATTAATCAGAATAATTATAATAGTAATCGGGATCAATCTTGAAATAATGAACCCAACTTACCCCAATAGCACATAACATTGAAACAGCATTGATTCGATGTTGATTCAACATCCGGACAACATTCAATCAACATTCAATCGATGTCGATTCAATCACATGTATTACTGGGGTAAGTGGAGTCTTTCTGATGTCTAAAAAAATTGAAACTTTCGAGTTTCAAATCGTAGGGTGGATTTTTGAACAGAGCACTATCCGATAATGCAGCTTTATTTACTGGATTTATCACGCATTTCCTCTGAAATAAAGCTGCATTATCGGATAGTACTCTGTTCAAAAATCCACCCGTAATCTTTTATTTTTTTTTATTACTTACAACTCTCTTGCAAATACCAAAAAAAAAACCACACAAAGAGATATGTTCTTGAATTCCTTGCCTCAGGAAGAACAGTAGGTTTATTGCTGGGGAGAGGATGGAACACGTGCAACTCCGATAGTTCACGTGCAGTACTGGCTGTGATGTTCAATAAAAAATTTTGTTCAGCAACCAAAGGGATTTATAGCAAATAAGCGAATTGGAGCTTTGTACCCTTAAATCGGAATCTCGCGTCAAATTCGCATCATTTCACGTCTGGGTTGAACCAATCCTTATTCTTTGGGGACGAATCTGGAATGAAGAGGCAAATACCACATATTATCGGTGATTCACAGCTCATATGTAACTGCGAATCAAATCGGGCCTTCTCTGTTCTATTCCCTAGATGTTCTACTTTAAAGAAATAGGCACCAGCCAGAACAAAGCCTGGTCTAAATTTTTCCCCCACGGAAGTGAAGTTAAGCTTTCTCCCATGAGTGGAGCGTTCATTTTGAAACACTTCGTGGGCGAGGGCTGGTGCAAGAGCCATCGGAGACGCGACAATGACGATAGGAAAACACTACCTACACTCGAGAGGCACTTATTGCATTTATTTCTTTATGCTATCCTCGTTCTTACGAACGTACTTTTCCCATCGGTGTACCCACGCGGGGAACCCGGTGATGAGTCGCACCCATCGTGTCACATCCTGCGCGACCACCATCGAGATATCTGCTCGGTTTGCACCGTGCTGCCACAACCGCTCTATACTCACCTGACCCTCCTTCGGACTCGTTTCGTGAACGTAGGAGACTCGACGCAGTCGCAGATCTGTTTATCGCGGTGACGTCGCTTGGTGTGCGATGCGGTGAGTGCGACTGCCCCGGTGACTCTTCATCACGGGGTTCCACGCGCGGATGTGCCGATAGGACCTTTGCGTGCGCAAGGACGGGGATCGCGTGGAGAAATAACAGCTGCCAATAAGGAGCATAAGTAAAGGATATCGAAGAAAGGGTGTCCCCGGAGAGTCAGCGTAGTCTTTTCCGATGACTTCGGCACCAGCCCTCGTTTAATTCTGAAGAATTCTTGATAGAAAGAATAACTCTTTTTTCACGCGAGAAATGATGAAATAGAAAAAAAGAAAAGGATCTTATGAGCATGAAAAGGGTAGATTGCCGTAATTACAGCGAATCTGCACAGAATGGGGCTCGGAAAATTTCATGAAACTAATGGAAAATTCAATATCCGGTCTCCCCCCCCCCACCTCCCCCAGCTTACGTTACTGGTCGGAAAGCCGACTTCCCCTTCCATCGCCACAGGGGGCTAGGCGCCGAGAGAGAGAGAGAGAGAAATATCCAGAGGAGGGGGGGGGGGGGGGGGGGGGGGGGGGGGCCCCTTT